TGACACTTCTCTTGTCAAATTAATTATTTCCTGTACATAACGGATAGGTTTGATAGTACTCGTAGGCGATTGTTGGCGAGAATGTGAAAGGAATACAAAAGAAGTTATTTTCTTTAGATACGTTGTTGTACACTGCCATGCGATTCTTACACGTATTATTAGTGAGCCGCGTGTATTTTGTTTCTTTGAGATTGGGGCTGCTGTTATTATGGCGATAAACACGTCCAATTTTCTTGTAGTTATGAATGAACCATGAAAATGAAAATATGTTGATTTTCCCTAATCAAAGAATCAGAGTCGTACCAAAAATGAACACAATTGCTCATATGTTGTAAGTTTTTACGTGGCCGTTAAGTATTAAAACGCCGAATTTCGCTTTAATCTAAAATCTACTTATCCGTCCCTATTAGTGACGAAACGCTTACTTGTACAAAAAATTACTATAATCATTAAAATAATCGAAGAAATCATTGAAAGAAACATGATTTAATTTTATCCAGAAAGTCGTCAACTTTCTAAATGATTGAACATCATCTCATACCTGGTGTATTTGAAACGTATTGATTTTCCATTTGACAAAGATGACCACGCTCACGAAAGGTAAAAATTACCAGCGCTTTATTATTAAAATTTGCAGCATTACATCAATACAGCGCAAAAGATCCTGAATTTTCGAAGATCAAACCAATTTTCTTCCTCAGTAATATTTTTAATATTTAATACGGAGGAGGGTAAATTCAGTTTTAAAATGAAAGTTTATTAATTGAAAGGATCAACATTAGACTGTTGACAGCAATAGCAGGTTGTAAAATGATGCGTGTCAACTAAAATTCAACTAAATAATGATAAAGTTTTAGTACGGCAGTAAAAAAACTGTACTCAACTACAGGCATTAAACATAAATTTAGCTAATACTGTGAGGGTGATTTCTGTTTTGATGTCAGTGACGCGACTGGAAATTCATCAGCAATTATACCTAATAAGCGAAAAATGAACCCAGAAATGTCTGAGTCCGATACATTGAAAATTATAATCAATCCACTGTGGTAGGGTAACTTCATTAGCAAAAAAAAACTGTCTATATTAACCCAGCAAAAATTAGTATCGCTTTTAATTGAATATAAACGAAACGGCGGTAAATGTAGAGCATTAACCTATCATTTACCGCCCCGTACGTTAATAAAACGTAAATAACAACAGTAATTGGCCATTCAACTATACAATAATGTTCTATGTATAGATAGGTATGTTATTATCGTCCACCCGACAACATTGTTAATCCAAAAGGACGCGTAATGAAACCAATAAAATAAAATGGCACCGTTTTACTCATCATTCTAATAAAACACATAAACGTGTTTTCGTTGTTCCTTATCCGTCCTTTGTTTTCACGTCAAGCGTTATTGATCGTATATTCGTATTGCATGTCATATCATCATGATAGATGAATTCAATACGAAGATTAAAGAGGGATGTTAATCAAATACCCCTTGCGCACAATGCATAAATATTTAAATCTCCGTGAAAAAAACAACAATCCACCCGTTGTTGTGCCGTCGAAGGAACCTCGTCCCACGTAACACTACAGGTCAATAATTAATGATCAGATCTACCGCAGAGATTTTCGAGTCTATTTATGATTTTTATATACTCATTGCAGGTTATTAATTAATTACTCGTGGCCAATAATTTATAGGTGTTTCGGCGCCTTTGACATTCTTAAATGAGTGCACAAGATTGGCTTAATTGAATTTCTCGGCAAGCTGAAATTTAGTACCGGCGGTAACATTTTCGTTTTATTAGGTGTGAGTAATGGGAAATTACAATACACTGTGTACACCTCACACATACCCCATTTGTGTACATAAATGCAACTCGTTAATGTCCTCATCTCTCTGTGTTTCTGGGAAAATCGTAAAGTTCTCCAGCTAATTGCCGAGTTGTGGATTTGAATGTAAATTTAAGTTGAGTGTAATTACCGGCGGTTTCCTTTTATGTTAAAGATTTCTATTTTCCTTCCTTATCGACCTTATCATTAAGTAAGCTAAGCATCTCGAGATATAGTGAAAGATACAATCTCAGTAATAACTATATTAAAACGCCTACCTATATATGCTTAATTCAGATTCGGATGTACCTGTAATTTCCCCATTTAAAAGGTGTTGTAGGCTCGAAACTAAATTATTTGTTAATTCCCGGTTTAAGAAGTGATTAATTGTAAAACTTCACAGCTGTGTTAAATTGCAATTACGAATTTAAATCTCGTTAGGAGCGAAAATTGGAATTATAAAACTAATTTGGCATTGTCGTAATAGATGTTATAATTTATACGTGTGTGTCCAACGTTAATTAATTAAATAAACTCGCCCTAAATTGGTAAAATTGCGAAAGCTTTTAAATCATTTATTATGGCCAGGTCAAGTGTGTTGTTATGGCATTCGCATAAAAGGGAACTGCGTGCTCACTGCATAATTAAATTAACAGTAGTGGCAGTTTGTACAACAGGATCTCTATTTAAATCTGGTATCCAATCTACACATAACGAACATATCCGTAATTAGACTTATAATTATTGTCGAATTACTTACCTTATCCACAAACACAGAATAAAATCAGAACACCTCTGTAGCTAATCCATTATATGTATATGAAAAAGAACCAAAACCACTTTTTATAGAGGAAGAACACGATCTCCGTGAAAATAGCAGACAAAAAAACCTAAAAAATACCTCAACAAAGGTCTCAAAATGTGTCTTGTTATTTCACTTTCTTTTCGGCAATCGCAGCACGTAGAAGGTTGGTTTTAGAGAGGTTACCTAGGTTTTACAGTGTGCCGTTTTCAATTCTGTACAATAATTCCAAGAGGTTTACTGAAATTACAATCTCAAAATAAGACCCATTGTGCCTTTAAATTTCTTAAAAAAAGGAGCTAACTTGCCTACGATTCTGAGATGAAAAGTTCAAAAAATTAGATTCCACTTCAATATAATTTGGATTGAATCGAACATTTATTTGTGGATGGAAATTATACTTGGGCCACTCTGTACATAAATAGGTCGTCGAGTGGTTGTCGACTTTGGGTGCGCAAAAGTTTCTTACAGCTCGAATCATGGTCTTTCTTTCTCGTATCGCCAATAAAAGCTCGAGCCGTGAGAAGTGCCCCAAAAATGGAGTCCTATTTTGTGGAGGATCTTTAGCGAAATAAACCAAAATGCGAATTGGGCATCGACAAAGGGAATGTGGTAGCCCCCCACAAGATCTGACTGATGGTGGAGTTAAAACTTCAAACGCGAATTGCGGGTGAACGGAACGTCGGAAGTGGGTACCAACAAAAGGAAGGTGATAGCCTTCGACATGGTCTTATTGACGGTGGGGTTAAAACTGGATAATAGAATACTGATCTGCCACACAGAAATGTGCCGAAGTCCATTCCATCTCACTCGAGGATTTTGATCATTTTTTAAGTTTTAAATTAAAATATTTGTTCACAAATATTGTAGGTATACCATGAGTTATACTGTAACTACGGCCCGCACTAATCTCGGCGTAAAATATTTGGTCCTTTTACAACTAAAGGTTGCCGACCCCTATGTTCTAGTTATTTATTTACATCGTAAGCATGGGACACCCTGTACATTTAAAAATAATTTCTATAGATGCGCAACCATATATAGTTGATATTTGCACAAAAGGTTTTTTAAAATATTTTTTACCAGGCATGAGCTCGCAAAAGACCGACGCACTGTTGCAGAATCCTGCATAATTCATTACAACTCTTTTTTTGTTAAGCTGAAATTATTAAAAGTTTGCAATTTGACAAAATGTAAATTGGTTTGGCAACCGTGCGCCCCTTTGAACTATGTGCCCTTAGACCCGGGCCTTGTGGGCCTACTGGTAAATCCAGTCCTGGGCTTCGCATAGGTTTCTTCCCCTTTTCAATTCACTTACATTCCTGTCCTAAGATACCGCACTCCTAAACGGCGCCGGCGGTGCGAAAAATAGTTCTGATCTTCACACATTTCGGTGCCCGTGAATGTACATTAAAAACTTAAAATTGAAATTCTGCGTCTGATAACGACAAAAAAATGCATTTTTTAACTATTCCGGTGCGACGTCTCGGTTGTGAGAAATTTGAAATCAAGTTGACATAAATCCCTTATAGGACCAGTTTCATCGCTCATACGCGCAAAATGTTATAATGTCCTAGATAAAGGTGACTGGTTCCACGAGACGTAAATCAATTAAGTTGAAGTTAAACAATTTCGTCTGGGCGTCAATTTGAAATAAAGCTCCAATTAGTTTTGATGGCCGAAAGCACAATCTCTGTCGGATTTTTATATATAAAAGCATAAAACGTAAATTGCACCTCGTTTCGTTGTACCAAAGTGCCATTCCAGCAATAACAGAGAAATATTACCGGTTTCTTTTATATTCCTGCTTTAGTTTACAAAATAGGTAGAGATGCATTCAACTTCTGAAAATTTTACCGCTTACACAACCCTTTTTATCTGTATTTTTTACTTGTTTTACAACGCCAATATTCGAATATATAGGGAATTGTAAAACGTACTGCAATAAGAACAGGGCGGAATAAGGAAGTAACTTTCCTATCTCAAAATGCGATGATTTCAAGTCGTCCCAATTGGCCTGTTCTAGTTTGAAATCCGAATCATAGCCGATTTTTATATCTTTTGGGGCTCTTACGATACGTGTCTAATATTTCTATGTACGGAAAATGCGAACCTACCCTGAAAACGTTTAGGTAAACAGAACGTGTCTAATTCTGTAAAGCAAAGGAGCGTTGGTGTACGGCCAAACTTGAGATATTTTTGATCCTTTTGAAGTACAAACGTAAATAATATCATTCGACTAATGATGTCTGCTAATGGACCATTATACTGTTTGTGCTCGTTTGTACCGGATTTAGTCTGATCTGTGACTTTTTTTCTCTTGGTGTGCTCTACAATTTTAATTACCTCCCGTTTTCTCTTTCGTTGCAGCACAATACCGTTCACCGCGCATAAGTGAACATCCTTCCGATATAATAGTCGCCAAGAATGAGCCAGTTACTCTAAATTGCAAAGCGGAAGGTCGTCCCGAACCTTCAATTGAATGGTTTAAGGATGGAGAACCCGTAAGAACCTCACCAGTCGACAACAAATCCCATCGAGTCTTGCTACCCTCCGGCTCTCTGTTCTTTCTACGAACGGTGAATAGCAAAAAGGAGCAAGATGGTGGAGTATATTGGTGTGTCGCTAAGAATATCGCCGGATCAGCCGTGAGCCGTAATGCCACTCTGCAAGTTGCCGGTATGTATAACTTTTAGCATATAGTCTAAATGTAAACTTTATAGTACGGATTTGCATAACCAACCGTTATATAGATCGGTTTCGGTTTGTTTTCAGTAGTTTGAAACTTCCTTCAAGTTTTGTTATTTCTATCTGAACCGAAACTAAATTCGCTACATAAATTCTTAATAAGGACTCAACCCAAATCTCATATCGAAGTTTGCTCTAAAAACATTACATCACCAAAATTAGTTTAATATTCAAATTTACCCTATAATTGTATTTTATTATGCCTTCTGGGGCTCATCGAAATTGTATGAACAGCAGTTTGTTATAATCAAGATTAAAAAGGGTTAGCCATGCCACGAGGTTAGCTCAGTCACAAATTAATTGCATTCATGCTTATGATATGCTAAGAAAGGTAACTTACGTCAGAAATTAGTAATATTATTCTCATAGGCGAAACCTCTGATCTAAATTGCAAAAGCGGGTATGACTTTTGAGAAGAAGCAAGAAATAACCAATAATCCTGCAGATCTCCTCACGAATTTTTTTGAGCGAATGTTAAGGATAAAATTTGAGATTTTTTATTTTTTTGTATGCATTATATCAATCGATACAGACAGTGATCTCAAATTTTATCCTTAAAACTCGCACAAAGTAATTCATGAGGGGGTTTGCATGATTATTGCATATTTTTTTCTTTAATACAAGCAAAGAATTATTATAATTAGTTACTCTTTGATACAAGTCATGTTTGTGTCGCTTGAATGTTATAATAATCTGTTATTCAAAATGATAAATGATTAAGTAATACTAATTGCAGCATTTGAAATGTTTATATTTATTTCACATAATTAACGGGCTCCTAGCGAGTTCATAATTTGGGATGTCTGGCCGTCTGTCCGTTGGCACGATATCTTGAAAACAAATGGACCGATTACGACGAAATTTTGCAGATGGGTTCTTTATCAAATTTGTAGATAGGAGATAAGGATAGGAATTCGTGAATGGTAATTGAAAATTTAGACTAAAAAATAAGGAAGCCCTTTTGACATCTCCGTTAGTTATGAACCGAATTGCATGAAATTCAAAATGAGCATACTATCTGTAGCTGTAGCCTATGCATCCAGAAGCTCGTGTGCTGTATTTGTTTATACGCATTTCTTTATTACATAAACCTATATAAAAGTAACCTGCGAATACGTAAACATAATATAATTGATACCCTTTGTTAATCACACAAAGCAGCAAACATTAGACTTAGAATATAATACGGTCACGTTATGCCCATCTTTTTTTGTTTCATCTTTATAATAATTAAATCGATTGACTGGACAATATAAATATTGCATAACGACAGCGTTCGCGACAGCGTATCACATTACTACCGATTTCCCAAAAATATATTGACGCTGGAAGCGAAATGGTAGAGTGCTTTTCCTCGATTTCCCCTAATTAGTACAGATTAAAAGCGACAGCTTTCAAATTGTTTTAGAAATAAAAATCAAGATCGTAGAACATTCTGCTACAAGGAAATCTACTTTTCTAGTTTGGGTATCCTAGATTGACAGTATTTAACTTAATGACGTAATAAAGGAGAAACTCCACTTGGTGAAATGGCGAAGTGTCAGGATAGGGTGTAGACTATTGCTTCATCGGCGTTGGAATTTTTTGTAGTAAGAACCATTTTATTGCCACCCACTTTTATGTCAGTGTTAAGTATTCTCACATTTGGGAAAGTGTTAAGAGACATTTGTATTCATTCACATGGCAATAAAATGTCACCACATAAATTTCGTTATTGGTGTTTCCTTATAACGCGTTGTTTTCATAAATTAGCGGACCACCTACACAAAGCTTTAATTGATCGCACCCCCAGATAGGATCGTTTGGTACTAAAGTTGAAAGTTAAAGATAAAATACGTCGCCTCGTAATTTGACTAATTGAGCTATTTATTATCTTAAGCAGTTCGTAATTTAACTTTTACTAAAGTTGAATTACGTGAAACGAATTGGACAATTTGTCTTTGTTTTTCAACTTTGCTGCTATCTGCTAGGCGCAGAAGTTCGCTCATCCCATCAATACCGCCGGTAATAATAGTTATTAAGTCATCAAATTATGTTTATTGCCCCATAAAAACTAACGGCACACGTCATAGGTAATGCCACGTTATAGTTAGAGTCAATTAGGAGCTTTGCCAATCAAAAGCTCACACCTGCCTTCGATCATTTAAAGCGTATAGGTATAAAGAATTCCAAAAATTTGCGCTACGAAGACGAAATTAAAGTGCAAAATTGTCACTTGGTGCTTGACATATGTTGCGAGACTTCATGGCGTAAAGAGCAATGAGTTGGATAAAATGTGTCCCTCAACATCGATAACAACCCCTCTGGTTGTCTGGCCATAATGGCTTGCATAGCGACTGGTCGATATTACCAACAGCGAATAAGGGTGACTTTTACTGCTTAGGGTTGTGAAAGTACATAAAACACACGAGTTTCAGGTATTTCCCGCATAGACTCGCTCAATTTTAAGAATTTTAACATTTCTCCGTGCCTTTCTAAAACGATTTAACGCGTAATTACCCAATATACAACGGAAATTAGTTTTTTTCCGAAACAAAGTGCTTGCAGTTTACCGGTTTCGCGCGTATTTTCCGATTTTCCTTCTCCACTTTTACGCCTAGTAAATAATGTTAAGACTGACATTTTAAGCGAGTTACAATTTTCTACATAAAAAATGGGGAAACAACTTCCGTTGCACACCACATTTAATTAACTGTTAAAAGTTTTCCTCATTTCCTAATGCATGCGTATAAAATCGGATGACCATTACATAAATTATACGGTTCAACGGCCCAAATTAATATTAATTTGAATTTCACGCAAAGAGATTGATTTTGTCTTAATTAAGGTTTGGTAAGGAAAAAATTAAATTCAAATATTTAGGTTGATTTTGCCTCACTCGCGTGCAAAATAGCTACGTATAAAAATATGGGGATGGTAAAACAGGATAAAGCAACAGAATTACTGTTTGAAGGTGTTGTCCGGTACCAAATTAAATATTTTGATCATTTTTTGGGGTAAATATTCAAAAACATCTTGTATTCATACAAATAACGTATGCGACTTGGACGGTAGTATTTTTTTTTACATGGTAAATTTGCTTAAACGGAAAGGTGGATGCTATAATTAACAAATTCACCAACAAATTAGTATTACATTCGCGAATATATTCGAGTGTGTGTTAACACAGTTCGACATGCTGCCAGTTTAAATACATAAAGCAATTCCCTCGTCTTTATACTCCGTAATTATTTGATATCATTAACCTAAGTGCTAATCCTTGTACCGATAACCAAAAGGTTTATGTAACGAAATGCTATAGCGTCACCAACGAAACCACAACATATGGAAATTACTTTGGGACGTTGGGAGTAAAAAAATGCATTTCAGTGCAAGAGGCTATTAATTACAGTTTGACGTTTATAATAAACATATGCGAAAAGTGAGACGCGTTTTTAAGAAATCAGACCATAAGAATTTATGGGGATCGTTAAAGTATGCACCCTCGTATTTCATAAAACAAATAGAATAATCTTTTAAATCTCTCAAAATTCATAGTCTTCTTTGTTAACAAACTGGAATCGCGTGTGTGAAGGCACATGTGTTTTAAGATGCCCCTACGTACTCACTACTGGTTTAGTTGCACTCCTAATTGTCTATTAGTCATCTATATTCATGAGGGGGACCTTAATATAACTATGCACACACTGCAACGGAAATGATGGGAATACGTAACTAGTTTAGAATCTTTGCTTCTCACTTTGTTATCCATGTCCAATGCAAAAGGTGCACAAAACTTTGTCTCCTATTTTCATTGAGAATGTGATCGGAAACAGCTTAATGTGTAGATGGACGTTCTGTTCCACATTTACATTAGGACGGCTTCGGAATTTTAAACGAGTTTGAATGTATAATGAGTTCACATCACATACATAATGGAGGTGTTTATTAACACTACAGCATATTAAGAGTGTGGTCCGTTTCCCATTGTTCTTCAGACACAAAGAACGGGTACTGGTTCTGAGGCAATTAACAGGAACTAACTACACTATTACATACCAAACTTTTTTGTTTAGTTATGATCACCATCGCTTGTCGTTTTCGCTGACAAATAATATGGGTAAATGCAAAAGTTAATGAGAAACAATGGACACATTTTATATTGCGAAAGAATTATAAAAGGAATATTTGTGATGCATTACTTTTACTATACGTGAGTAATATGAGGAGCTTCTTTTCAAAGTGCAATAAGTCTATATTTTCCAAATTTCAAGTCAACCCTTATTATCAATCATAATAATCAAAATGATTGACACAGATTTTGTAAAATACCGTATTTTAATAAGTAACACCCCCATTAACAAAAAAAATTCGGAATCCATAGTCGTTATAAAATCTGTTGAGATATTTATCTTGTCCTAACTCAAAATCAAACTCAAAAATGGACTTGTTGCATTTTAAAAAGAAGCTCCTCATATATTAAACAAATAAAAGTATTTGGTCTACCACAAAACTTAATACCCCTGCAAGAATAACGGCTTTATTTAGCCGGGGTGTCAGCCAAAGGCTGCTATTAGCAACTGATAATTACTTTGCCTGTAAGTGTGAATTTTCTCATTACGTAATTTTAAAACGAAAAGGTAGTTTTTTGCATAGTGATTAAATTACCGGACTTTAATTTTATCAAAAAGTCGTATGGAAAGAGTTACTTTTTTTCACGATTTGTGGTATGTGTTTCCATGGCGTTTAGTCCTACCTGTCACAATTTTGGATAATTAAAAAATTTACTTTGAAATGGCCACCTCTTTCCTTGCTTATAATTAACTTAATGATCTGAAATTGAAATGCGGTTAATTTACAGGAATTACATTTCAGACTTCACATAGACCTTAACTTTGATTCTTAGTTGACAAGTTAGGTAATAGATAACCCCCGACCCCTGCCCCGACCCC